GCCAGCAACAGGCTGCCGAACAGACAAAAGCAGCCTCTCTGCCCCTCCTCCCCTCTATACATGCCGGGCTCCCGAGCGCAGCAGCGTCCCCGGGGCTCGCTCACCTGGGTCCTAGAATCCACCTTCTCCTCCTCTTCGGCCGGCTCCAGATCCCCTTTCTCCAGATCATTTATGAATAAGTTGAATAGGATTGGTCCCAGGACTGATCCTTGGGGTACACCACTAGTTACCCCTCTCCAATCTGAAAATTTACCATTTATTCCTACCCTTTGTTTCTTGTCTTTTAACCAGTTCTCAATCCAAGAAAGGACCTTCCCTCTTATCCCATGGCCATGTAATTTACACAAGAGCCTTTGGTGAGGGACCTTGTCAAAGGCTTTCTGAAAATCCAAGTATACTATATCTACTGGATCCCCCTTGTCCGCATGTTTGTTAACCCCTTCAAAGAACTCTAACAGATTAGTAAGACAGGATTTCCCTTTACAGAAACCATGTTGACTTTTGTCCAACAAATTATGTTCTTCTACATGCCTCACAATTTTATTCTTTACTATTGTTTCGACTAATTTTGTGAAAAGAAACTACCATCAAGCTACAGTTTAGAGTGCAGTAGAGAAAAACCACCTTCCCACCTCTTTTCAAGGTTGGTGAAACATCTGTTTACACATTGAACGTTTAGCAATCAGCACTTCGGCACTGGAGTCTGATCATGTGAATCTGGTCCCAGTGCTAGAGTGTTGGAAACCAGCATGGCATTGGAGACAGGTGCTGGGTCAGGTCAGGGCCTCTGTGGAGGGCCCGTGGTAGGTTTCCCTCTGGACTCATTGTTGCCTCAAATTCAACTCTGGCGCAGCTCAGGTCTCACTCATTGATCTCTTTCTGCTTTGAATCTCTTTGGCACGAGGGAATACTAACTGTCAGTGTTCTGCTTGTGAGGAGGGGAGCCACAGTGCCAGAGAAGAGCACCAAAGCTGATGAGCTTGGTGCTGAATAAGTGGAAAACATGGTGGGGGAAGGAGAGGAGGAGAAAGCGCTGATACCAATGCACAGAACAGACATGAGCAAGCACTCAAATGAAAATACAATGCCTTATTCTACCCACTGGAGGAAGCCTTTGCTTCCTCAGCTTTACTCTGTATTTTATATCTCAGTTTGAAATTGTGAAATGAAGCA